AGAGAGAGAGAGAAACAAACGATTACATTATGAATTTTTTTTGCATTTTGAAATGTAATGCAGTGAATGAAAAATGAAATGAAATGAAAGATTGAAGATTGAAAAAAACGTATACCGAAGTTCAGGTTCTACGTTCAGTTGTTGATAAGATTCGTGTGTTTGATTACAACAAGTTTATTCGTCACCAACAAAATTCATCCAAAAAAAAAACTTGATGATGGAACATTCAATCATCACCATCATTTGATTTTTGGTTCTTTACAAATTGATTTCCGTAATCAAATCAATCAATCAATTCTGATTGTTTTTTTGTATCAAGTTTTCTTTTTTTCAAGTAGCATTTCTCGATCAGCTTTTATATAAAAAGTATTGCAATGATGATTTTTTAATTTTTTTTTCTGGTTCGCGCTTGTGTGTGTTTTATATTTGGCGAAAAATTGTTTGATTTCGAAAAAATTTCCAAAACACCAATCAACAATGGCAACAAGAATAATTTTCAATCAGCAAAAAAATCTATGGAATTATCATCGAAGATTTTATTATTCAACTGAAAAAAATCTAACCAAATTCAGTTCAATACGTAATGATTATTATAAACGTAAAACATCATTATCATCATCATTATCAACAACATCAACATTTGGTAATGGTGGTAAACAATCAACAACAAATGGCCAATCAACGAATGGCCAATCATCATCAACATCAACAATTGTAAGAGAATCATTTGCAAATCGTCAAGAATTACGTCGTGCACAACGTGTTGTTATAAAATTAGGTTCAGCTGTTATAACACGTGATGATGAATGTGGTCTTGCGTTAGGTCGTTTAGCATCAATTGTTGAACAAGTATCCGAACTACATAAAGAAGGTCGTGATGTTTTAATGGTAACAAGTGGTGCTGTTGCATTTGGTAAACAAAAATTAGCATCCGAATTACGAATGTCAATGTCAATGCGTGAAACATTATCTCGTGCGAATGATCATCTGCAAGCACGTGGTATGACTTTGTTGGAACCACGTGCAGCAGCTGCTGTTGGTCAATCTGGATTGATGGCCCTTTATGATGCTATGTTTGCACAATATGGTATAACAATAGCACAAATTCTGATTAATAAAACAGATTTTCGTAATCCAACATCCCGACAGAATCTAGCATCAACTGTATTTGAATTATTAAAATTTGATATAATACCAATTATCAATACAAATGATGCAGTCGTATCACCAGCATTACCTGATGTAGATTTAGAAGGTGTTATCAGTGTTAATGATAATGATATTTTAGCTGCACATTTAGCAGTTGAAGTTAATTCGGATGCTTTGTTCTTGCTTTCGGATGTTAATGGTATTTATACAAAACCACCAAAACAAGAAGGAGCTAGGCTATTGCATACATATGATCCAAGTATTGCTGAAAATATTACATTTGGTGAAGGTTCACGTGTTGGTACTGGTGGTATGGAATCAAAAGTTAATTCAGCTGTTTGGGCATTAAATCGTGGTGTTTCGGTTGTCATTTGTAATGGTATGCAAGATGATGCTATTGCTAATATTATGTCCGGTAAACGTGTTGGTACATTTTTTACACAAATACCTGAACAAATTGAATCAACACAGGCTATGATACAAAATGGTAAGTTTTTCATTTTTCCGGAAAGATTTTTCGTTTGCTATCTATTTTTCTTCCCAAAAAAGATTTCCATATTAAGAAAATTAAGGAAAATTTTTCAATCAAAACAAAAAAAAAATCAAATTTTAGAAATTTATTGCCATGAAATTCTTGTCAGAAAAAAAAGGAAATTAACAGTTTTCTAAACATCAAACATCATTAAGATTTTGTTTTTGTCGTAATTCATTCATTCATTTTTGTTTTGTTTTGATTGATTGATTGATGAATTTTTAAGCTAACAGAAAAATTTTTCCTTTTCCTTCTTTTTTCCTGTTGTTGTTGTTGTTGTTTTTTGTTTAATGTAATTTTTTTTGTGTTTGTTTGTTTTTGACAAAAAAAAAATTGATTGATTAATTGATTGATCGAATGAATCAAAATAGCCAGACAAAGTAGCCGTTTATTACAGAAATTAACTGGCCTTGAACGTGGTGCTATTATTCATCGTTTGGCAAATTTATTAGAAGAACGTATCGATACGATTTTAGAATCAAATGAACGTGATCTGATTAAAGCACGTTCATCAGGTAAGCCGCAATTGATTGATTTGAGCATTTTATCAATATTGATTTTCGTTTGTTTCTTGTTACCTCGGTTGGATCGAAATAGATTTAGCAAAACCATTATTAGATCGTTTAGCATTGAATGAAACGAAATTAAAATCATTATCGATTGGTCTGCGTCAGATTGCTGATAGTTCAGAATCGGTTTTAGGCCGTCAACGTCGTCGTACACGAATATCAAATGGTCTTGATTTATGTCAAATTACTGTACCACTGGGTGTACTATTGGTAATATTTGAATCACGGCCAGATTGTCTACCACAAATTGCAGCCTTATCAATTGCAAGTGGAAATGGTCTGTTGGCTAAAGGTGGTAAAGAAGCATGGGAAACAAATCAAACATTACATCAATTAATACAGGAAGCATTATCATCAATATCATCCGATGTACGAATGGCTGTAAATTTAGTTAGCACACGGGAAGATGTTGCCGAATTAATTCAAGCTGATAATGGTATTGATTTAATTATACCACGTGGTTCAAGTGAATTAGTTCGTTCAATACAGGAACAAAGTCAAAATATACCTGTATTAGGTCATTCTGAAGGTATTTGTCATGTTTATATTGATGATCGTGCTGATATGGATAAAGCAATCCGAATTGGTAAATTGATTTTGATTTTGATCAAAATTCTTTAAAAATAATTTCTTTGTTTGTTTCATGATTTCCATAGTTCGTGATTCAAAATGTGATTATCCATCAGCATGTAATGCAATTGAAACACTGTTATTACATCGTGATCTTATTGATCGACAAGATGATGATTTTTTTCATCGTCTTTGTAATACATTAAAACAAGAATCCGTACGTTTATATTCTGGACCAAGATTACATCAATTGTTAACATTTGGTCCACCAAAAGCCAAAAATCTACAAACAGAATATGGTGGATTGGAAATGGCAATCGAAATTGTTGATGATTATCATCAAGCAATTGATCATATTAATTTTAATGGTAGTGGTCATACTGATTGTATTGTTACTAATGATGGTAAGTACCCAACAACAAACAAACAAAAGTAATCAATAATCCAACCGAAAAAAAAAACGAACGATGCTTTGAGTAGAAATAGAATCGAATGACAGACAAGTGAATAAATGATGGACATTACCCAAACACACACACACAAAACTCATCATTCAAACTAAATTGAAATCATTGAATAATAGAATATATAGAGTGAGTAAGAGAGAGATATATTTAGTTTAAAGAAGAAAGAAAGAAAGAAAAATAATGTTTTTATCATCATCATCATCATCATTTACATTATTCGATTCTAGTCATGGACAATTTGATTTTATTGCTTATATTTGTATAATGTTTATATCCGAATAGAATCCAAACTGAACCAAACAGAATATATTCTATCCACTCTTACAATAATGTTAATGTAAGAATGAATGAAATGAAAGTAAATAAGAAAAAAGCAAATAGAAAAACAAATAGATAAGAAATAGATAGATTCTTCTTATACCAAAAAAAAAGAAAGAATGGATTAAAAATGTTTATTTTTAAAAAAATAGCAAATGAAAATACATTATTATTTTAGGGATCTCAAAAACATAGATAGTGTGTGTGTATGTGTGTGGGATGTATAATAATATCAATGTTGATGTTCCCAAAACAAAACAAAAAAGTATAGTGAAAAAGGAAACCTCGATTATATAATGACAATTATATAAATGGCTTTATTGAGGATGATTTTGTTGTTTGTTTGTTTGTTGCTTGCTTTGTTTATTTATAAACTTGAATGTCCTTGGTCCAAATTCTTTACGTTTTTTTTTGAGATCTTCCGGTCATTTTGTAATATGATGATGATGTTGATGATAAAGATGACATAAAAAAGATAAATACCATTTCGGTACTAATCGGAGGAAAAAATAGAATGAGAATGAATAAGTGAAATCCAAAGTCCGATTACGAACATCCATTAACATAATTTTTTCTTCATATGTTTTGATCATTAATTTTCTTTTTCTTTTTTTTGAAAAATGATCGATCCTGAAAGAAAATCGTGCCAAAGAATTTTTAAGAGATGTTGATTCAGCATGTGTATTTCATAATTGTTCAACAAGATTTGCTGATGGTTATCGTTTTGGTTTGGGTGCTGAAGTTGGTATATCAACTGGTCGTATACATGCACGTGGTCCAGTTGGTATTGAAGGTTTATTAACAACCAAATGGCAATTAGTTGGACAAGGACATGTTGTACAGGATTTTGAAAAAAATGGTTTCTGTCAATATGAACATCAATCATTACCAATTGAATCGGAATATCAACAACAACAAAATTCAAACAAATTAAATGTTGAAATTGATTCTTGAAAGGATGTTTTCTTCTTATCATATTATATGTATCATTCTTTGTTCTTTACAAATTAAAATTGTTGTAATTGAGCAAATAAATTTCGTAATTTTTCTTTATTATCCGTTGTTTCATTATCATTATCAATATCCATTTCGTCTTCGTCATCATCATCCTCTTCTTCTTCTTGTTGACAATTCTTTTCGAATTGATTCGGTACACTAAGATCCAATTGAATTAACGATGATGATGTTGATGATGATGGTAATGTAGACGGTAATCGTTCGTGCTTAACATCTTCAGCTATTTCGATGTCCGATGGAACAACATCATCTGATGCAATATCATCACCTGCAATGGGTTGCGGTGGTAAATATTTTCGACAATAAACTTGTTGTAAACGATCTTCCAATAATTTTCTTTGCTGTGATAAATCATTTAGAATTAAATCAATTTTTTCCAATTCATTCAATAATTTTCGTCGTTTATTCTGTATGGAAACCATAATCAACAACAAAATTCAAAACGAGCAGAATTTTTCCAAAACGTTCGAAATTCTTTACTGTGAAGCGACTATTTTGACAATATAACACCTGTGATTCGTGAAAAATCGAAATTCAAATCAAAAAAAAAATTGAAGAAAAAAAACTTTTATTGTGACAAATTTTTTCTGCAAAAAAACGAATATAAAATGTAAACAAATAATTTATCAAAATATGGCAAAAAGTATACTAAAGTTTAAAGGCAATATTTATATGCAGGAAAAAATATTCATTCTATGTTTTGTGTTCTTGTTGCTGATTCTGTTGTTGTTGTTGTGAATTTGTTGATGGCGGTGGTTTTTGTTCATCACTCGAACCCAATACATCTTTATCCACCTGTAATAGATCAATATGTTGTCGTTTGATTGCTTCATGTACACAATTCTGATATAATTTAAAAATATTATCACACATTGTTGAACGATGATCACCTTTTAAAAATTTTTCAGCAAACCAAACATTAAAACATTGATCATATTGACGTTTAAGTTCATTACATTCTTTACCAATTGATTCCATTATTTAACACTATTGTTTATCACCTCTGATCAATGATATGATTGTCTTGAATTTTGAAGATTTTTAAATCCAAAATAAAATTCTCAATGAAACCATGCTGAACATGCAAAATATTGTTTTACATCATTACGGTTGGTGTCGAAATAGTCTCCCATCAACGAGAAAATATATAAATATCAGCTGAATAGAATCAGTGTTATGCTTATTTTTGACAATTTTGAAGGATAAAATGGTTGGTTTCTCTCATTTTTTCGACCAAAAACTTTGAATAAATAATTATCGTTTTTTTTCTTTTCAATTTCCATAGAATAAATCAATTGATCTTTTATCGTTACGATTGGCTGATATTGAACAACGTTTATATGGTTTTAATACGGCAAATTTTTCGGCGACCGGTGAAATATCGGGTGAACATCAAAATGTACAACAGCAACAGCCAAATCTTATCGAAATGCTTGCTGAAATTGAATCCAAATTAAAATCCCTAACAATTGGTAAAGATAGATTTAATCAATGTTATAATGAATTGCAACGATTACAAAAATGGCTACGGGAAGATGATCAAATGGATTTATTAATTCGTACATTTGGTAGTCATTCATCGGTTATAAAATTTGAACAAGTTCTTGCATTTGAAGATGAAATTCGTTCGGATTTTGATCGTATCGAACAAATTAATCGATTAAAACCATCATTAGATCAAAAAAATTTTATACGAATCGCTGAATTGGAACCAAAATTAATTCGATTAAAACTACAGCTATTCGAAGCAAAACAACAATCAAAACAATTAGATTTGGAAACAAAAGAATTAATCGAACGATTTAATCAATGGTACGGAAATTTGATTGAAAATTTTCAACAAATTCATAAAGATCTTGATGAATTAGAACACAAAAAGGATTTGAATAAATATGATTTATAAATAATGAATAATTAAAAAAATTTTTACAAAAAAAAACTAATAACTTTTTCATCCAAAAATTCTCTAACAAAAACCAATTTGTTTTTTCATTTCCAAAAGATATTGATAAAATTGATCCAATGCTTTTAATTGTTTTCGATGTAGAAGAATTTGTCGACGATATTTTTGTAATTCTTCAACAGATTCCATTGGTGTTAGATTATATTGTTTCATAAGATAACAAGCAACTAATGTTGCACTTCTTGTACGGCCAGCTTTACAATGTACATAGGTTGTCGATGTCGAGGATGAAGGAATGTTGGTGATTTTTTTGTTATTATTATCGATTATATCGATAATTTGTCCATTGTTTTTGATTGGCCAATTCACCAATAAGGGTTGAGGATCGTAAAGAATTTTTCGTAATTTCCGTTCGGAAAATTCGGATTTTAAATTTGTTGGATTCGAATGGCGATTATTATCGTTAGTAGCAGACATGGTTAGTATGAATTCAACACCATCAATCAATTGTTTTAATGTTGGTGCATGAAATATATCGGCAGTATTCAATTGAAGATAATCAACATTTAATAATTTCCATTCTTGTTGATTTGTTACGGCAAATAATAATTCAAAATTTTCATTCATCGATATTACTGAACGAACATTTTCTTGATAATATAATTGATTTGTAATTGAACCATGAAATGGTAATGCACCTAATATAACTCGATTATCAATACGATCATACCAATTCCATGATGACCAACGATTTCTTAGTAGATTATAACTTAATGATGGTAAAAATGTTATTTTTGCAAATAATGACATTGTTTGTTTGTTGTTGTTTTTCGGTCGTTCGAATTGAAGTTTTTCCCAGAAAATTTTTGCTCGCTTTCGTCATCATCATCATCATCATCATCATGATCGTTAATTGTGGATAAAAGTAGCCTTTCTCAACTTTTGATGGACAACAACAACAACAAATGAAGAGACCAGTTTTTCTGATCTAAAAAAAAATCGAACAAGTTTTTTTTGACAGAAATCTTTGAAAAAAAAAAATAAATTACAGCGCCATCTTCTGACAAACTACATATAGATTTGATTTTTTGAATCGATTTTTTTCCCCATTTTGATTGATTTTGAATTTTGAACCAGGAAAAAATTGATTTTTATCGAAAAAAAAAACTTCAAAGTCACGAATTTTGATCAATGAATTTTCGAAAATTATCGGTTATAAAATTATTCGACCAGGAAAAACATCGAAAGTATTGAAATGAGGAAATTGAAGAGCAAAAAAAAACGATTCGAACGTTTTGATTCGAACGTTTTCGATTTCGAACGTTTTTTTTTTGGTTGACATTCGTCCATCATCGAATACTCGAGATTGATCTGTTTGTTCGCAAAATTTCATCCGAAAAAAAATCAACCAATTCAAGACAAGATTCAACCAACAAAGATAATGTGGTGGAAATTACAACAATTTGATTTTCTATTCGAATATGTTGGTATGACGCCAGATTTTCGTACCAAACATCTACTATGGGTAAATGTATCACCAATATTGGTTATATGGGCAATTATAAATTGTGTTATATTTGCAAAAATAATCGGTCCAGAAGTGATGCGTGGCTTACCGGCATTCGATGTTCGTTGGTTAATGTTCATATATAATATAACAATGTCAGCATGTAATGGTTTTGCTGTTTATAAAGTAGTATCATTATCGGATTATTTTCGTATTTTATTGAATTTTGATTATCCTGATCGTATGGATTGTTCAACAAGATCATTTTATCTAATACATCTTGGTTATCTTTATTGGTTATCGAAAATTCTTGATTTATGGGATACAAGTTTTTTTGTTATACGAAAAAAATTTTCACAAATAACATTATTACATGTTTATCATCATACGGTTGTACCATTATTTGGTTTCATTTTGCTACGTGTTAATCCAATATTACCTTGTGTTTTTCTTTTTACATGTAAGTAAAATGAATGTTATTTGTTTTTTGGTTCAATTTCTAATCCTGTGGAACATTTTGCTTTTGATTTTGATTTTGATTTTTTTGTTCGAATTTCAATTTAGTTATCAATTCAACCGTACATGTTATTATGTATTCATATTATGGACTGGCTGCATTGGGACCATGGATACAACCATATTTATGGTGGAAAAAATATATAACCATATTACAATTATATCAATTTGTTTTATACGGGTTTTATGGTTTTTTAATTTGGATTTTCGGTCAAAATTATCCAGTATTTTGGCTATATTTAGGCCTAACACAACCGCCATTATTTTTTTGGTTATTTTTTGATTTCTATATGAAAGCTTATAATCGTACAGCAATGGATATATGGCGTGCATTATTAATGTATCGTCGTCGTCATCGTCATCATCGACGTGGACAAGATCGACAAACAAACAAAGAAATTAAGAAAAAACCGATTAACAACATGACCATTATGAATGATAACAATGACGATAATGATTTATATTTGACGAAAAAAAATGGTTCAAAAGTTGATTAATTACTGCTTTGAGTACTACTTTTAATTCCAAAAAAATCATCATTTCTTTTTCCTATTCATTTTAATCAATTCAATCAAAATATTCAAACCAATCAAACCGATACTGATAAATGCACCAATACGCCATATTGTTCGTATACCATAATTCTGTGTTATATAACCACCAAATAATGAACCAACACCAAGACCAATACCTTCATAACAAGCTGACATTAATGCTTGCATTGTTGCACTTGGTTTTATCATTTGTCGTTGTTGTTGTTGTTGTTTTTGGTCATTTTGATTATTAAATTTATCACATTTATCAGCATAATAATTAGCAACATATGTCATAACTGAATAAAATAATGAAAATGTTAGACCTTGTAAAATTTCAACCAATAATATATCCCAATAAAGACCATTATTTTGTTCTAACCAATAACCATAAGCAATGTAACGTAATGTAAATGCAGCCAATGCTAAACATAATGACCAAATTGAACCAAAATATTCAATAATATAATGTGCAAAATAAAATATTGGTATTTCACCTAAAAAACTTTCAACTAATAAACAAAGACCCATAAGTAATGCATCTTTACCACGTAAATCTTCCAGGTACCAGAAAAAGAATGACCAATGAAATGCAGTTAGTATGCCGAATATAAAAATATTCAAAGAATGTTGTATCAAAGTTGGATATTGACGAAATAATCGAATGATTTGATTGAAAATTTCCAAAACAGACCAAATAATTCCGGTTGATTTTTCTTCATTCGAATTTGCAACGGTTGTTGTTGTTGTTATTGTTCCGGATTCTGGATTCAGATCTGGTTTCAATACGGTACGTCGATGATAAAACTGCCATATAGTAAATAGATCCAATGATTCAATGGCAACAAACATAATCAAACCAGGTATAAGATATGGCAGATGACCTGGATGATCATTTATAACACCGGATAATATTCCTATGATAAAAAGATAAAAACAAAAACATCGAATCAAACAATCGATAGTGAGATAATAATAATCGATAGTGAGATATATTTACCAAAAATTCCATAACCAACTGTTCCCCAAATACGATAACTACCATAACTGATATTTTGTTTAAAACGTTTTAATTGTTCAACTTCATTAATAACTAAATAATCGGTTAATGAAATACCGGCACCCATTGCTGTATTTGCAATCAATGTTAGCAGACAGAAAAACCACCAAAGAATTTCCGTTGTTATCCATTGTAATAACCATGGTATTATCAATAATAAACCATAACCGAAAATAGTTGATATTTGTGAAATAATCAATATAATTGAATGACAATTATAACGATCACCGATTGAACATATTAATGGTTTTATAATTGAAACAATAAATGGTAAAATAAAGAATAAAATACCAACAGATTCAGCGGATATCTGTAAATGTTCACGTGCAAATATTGATACAAATGGTAGAATACCGCTTAACGAACCAAACCAAAAAAGATAATGTGCTTTCAATGGCCAATTTGATTGCATTTTTTGAAAAGGAATTTTAAGTTTCACAAACAAGCGAAAAAAAAATATGATCCACATCCATAAATGGTGTGGATGATTCAAATGGTGGATGATTTGATTTTTCTTTAATCAAATGTTAATCATAAAAAAATCATTAAATTAAACATCATAAAACATCAAAATTATCATCATCATTATCACTGTAATTAATTAATTAATTATAAATGTAGTGATGCTGTAAAAAATTCAGCCATTTTTTTAAAAAATGATCATTAATGGATGTTTACAATGTATCAAAAAACAAAAACAACGTAACGTGATACTTTTTTGAATTTTTTTTTTATCCATCCACGAGCACACCTTGAATACTTTTATTTCAATCTGTCAATATTGAAATAAAGATTCATGCGCGTGTTCCAAAAAATTGCTTGTTATTTGAGCCATTTTTTTTGGTAATTATTTTCATCGTTAGATGGCGATACGGATTCCATTAGGAAAAGAATTTTTCTTGTTTTTTTTCCCGTCAGAATAATCAATGTAGATGTAGATTCTGTTTTTGTTTGTTTGTCGGCAAATGCTATCCCCTTTTTTTCTTATTCGGAACCAAATCCCCTCCTACCGGTACCTAAAAACCATAGAATAAAAATTTGTCATCATCATCGGCGTCGGTTATTCGATGGCGGTTATTTTTTTTTCCCTTGGTCATGAATGAATGTGGGGATAGAATTCTCATTAACAACATTGAAAGAACAGAGAAAGAAAAACTCTAGCTATAAAAAGCTAGTCCCAAAAATTTTCTTGACAAATTTTTTTACACAAATAAAAACATTTTATCTTTTGGAATGTGTGGTGCGAAAGAACAAGAAGTGGGGGGATGAAGGAAAGGTTTTCGCTTGTTTGTTCGACAAATGTTTGCTTTATTTCTTCGGAAAAAAAAATTCTCCCTTCAAATCAAAAATCTTAATGAATAAGGTGTTTACAAGCAAACAAATTATCAATTTATTGATCAATTCGATCCAATACTATGTGATTATCATCAAAATCAATCAATTTTCTCAAAATCAATCGATTGTATATTTTCCCACGGGTAAAAATTGTCCAAAATTTAACATTATCATGGCGCCAATGATAATGATAATTTTTGTTGTTGTTGTTGTCCACATTGTTTTTGTTGTTGTTGTTTTTACCATCACCAAATATCATTGATTGTGGTTAAGTCATCATCATCATCATCAATTCATCAAAATGACAAATGATGATAATAATCACAGGCACGTTCATCAAATGGATGTTTCGGGTCATCAAGTTTATTATCATCATTTTTTTCTGACCATTAAAAACAATATCCAACAACAACAACATCAATGATCATCTTAATGTGTGTTTGGTTTGGTTTGTGGTGAAGTGATTAAAAGCCTAAAGGCAAAATTTTGTGAGACAAGTAAAAAAAATGTCAAATAAATATTGTGTACGTGTTTCTGCTGCTGTGTAATCACCAGATCAGTGAAATGATCGGAAATAAAACACACAAAAAACCATAATAATAATAAATTCATTTGAATTCGGATGATAATTGTGTCTTTTCCTTGGTGGCTTTTCTTTTCTTCTTCAAATGGTTGTTCTCTCGATTTTTCATTTCTTTGATTATAATCATCATTGAAAACTTATCAAACAACATCCTTCCAGACAATATTTCTCTTTGTTCTTGATATCTCAATCAATAATTCAGTGTTTTTTTAATCTTAATTTTTTTTTTGTTAAATTAATTTTAGCCTACGGGGAAGAACAAAGAAGAAAAAGTAATTATTTTTTTTCTGATTTTCCTTGCAATCCAACCATTGGTGAATGTGGTGTCCATAAATTTCATTCCACTTTACTGCGTTTTTGGGTTATATGTTTGTGTGTGTGTGTATGGTGAATGTTTGCATATATGGCGCCCAAATTTTCTTCACAATGTACAATATTATTTTGTTTTAATTGACACTATAAACAAAAAAACAAACATGAATAGAAAATAAAATGGGCGTCTGCTGTTGTTGTTGTTGCTGTTGTTGTTTGTAATTGAAAATGAATAAGGTAAACGCGGCCTGGGTTAAGCTCCAATTAGTTTTTATCGTTTATCGTTTTTTTTTTNTTGTGGTGAAGTGATCAAAAGCCTAAAGGCAAAATTTTGTGAGACAAGTAAAAAAAATGTCAAATAAATATTGTGTACGTGTTTCTGCTGCTCTGTGTGTGTGTTTAAGTAATCACCAGATCAGTGAAATGATCGGAAATAAAACACACAAAAAAACCATAATAATAATGATAAATTCATTTGAATTCGGATGATAATTGTGTCTTTTCCTTGGTGGCTTCTTTTCTTCAAATGGTTGTTCTCTCGATTTTTCAAAGTTTGATGATAATCATCATTGAAAACTTATCAAACAACATCCTTTTAGACAGTATATTTCTTTTTTTGTTCTTGGTATCTCAATCAATAATTCAGTGTTTTTTGTAATCTTAATTTTAATTTTGTTAAATTAATTTTAGCCTACGGGGAAGAACAAAGAAGAAAAAAGTAATTATTTTTTTCTGATTTTCTCTCAACCGTACCATTGGTGAATTTGGTGTCCATAAATTTCCTTCCACTTTTTTTGGGTTATGTGTGTGTGTGTGTATGGTGAATGTTTGCATATATGGCGCCCAAAATTTTCTTCACAATGTACAATATTATTATTATTTGTTTTAATTGACACTATAAACAAAAAAAACAAACATGAATAGAAAATAAAATGGGCGTCTGTTTGTTGTTGTTGTCGTTGTTGCTGTTGTTGTTTGTAATTGAAAATGAATAAGGTAAACGCGGCCTGGGTTAAGCTCCAATTAGTTTTTATCGTTTATCGTTTTTTTTCTGTTTCCAAAACATTTCCCATCGGATATAGAAATAATTTTCCAGAAAGATTTATCAAAACAAAAAAAAACATTATCGTTTTGAGAAACAAAACAAAAAAATCATGAAATTTTTATTATTCAAGGATCATTCTGAATTTATTTCAGAGTAAAATTTTGTAAAATAAACCATCATCTAATCACGTAGTGGAAGGGGGAGGTTAAAAAGATAGAAAATTTATACAATGAAAATAAAAAAAACGATTGGGTAATATTAGAGCAGAGCAACAGCAGCAGCAGTAGAGAGGAAAGGATTAAAAACAATTAATAAAAATTATGGCAGGCAATAATAATAATTTTTAATTTTTTTTTTGTTTGTTGCCTCCCTCCTCTCCTCTCTTTCCTCTCCTCCCCCCTCTTCTTCATTATGATCATCATCATCATTGCATCAGATGGGTTATTTTCGAAAATCACTTTTTGTTGGGGACCTCTCATAAACTGGATTATATCTCTTTGTTTTTTCGTGAAAGAGATGCATTTTCGTTCATAAAAATCCAAACGACCAGAATTAATTAGCATTATTATTATTTTGGAATTGGTTATATGACCAGAATTATTATTATTTTTGTAACACTTTTATTTTCGAAAGGGGATAGAAGGGGGGACAGAAGAGTGAGTGGGTGGATTTCACTTGGAACGAACAAAAAAAAAAGAGGGAAACTTTATATTTGTTTTCGTTTCACATAATGGTGATCCATATAATGATGGTGTTTCTTTCTTTCTTTCAAATTTTTATTTTTTCCTGCTAATTCTATTATGACAACCCGTTTGATGATGATGCTTTTCAGGATTTTTTTTCAGTAATTTTTCTTTTTTCAAAATTGGTGCAGCATTCAAGTGGTCCGAAAAAATGATCCACAAAGGAAATGTAAACAAACGAACAAAAAAAAGTTTGAGAGAAACACGATGAGTTTGGATAATTTTGAAATTTGATTTTTTTTTCGTTTCGTTGTTGGTTGGCACTAATTGATTTAAATTAATTAGAAAAAAAGGATAAAGAGTTTTGTTCTTTGTTTTGGTTGATGGAAAAAAAAATTCATAAACGTCGTTTATGAATGGGAGATATATGAGTATTTCTGTTCGAAACTCCGATTTTCCGATTATATCGATTATATCGATTGTTTTTTCTTTTCGGAATATGATAATCGATTGTTTGTCGAAAATTTGTTTTGATTTTTTTTTCTCTCTCGAAATTTGAGTAAATTTTTCAAAGTTTTTTTTTCTTGAAACTAGATTTACAAGTGAATTTCCCCAACTTATTTTAAAGAAATAAAATAAAAAAAACGACAACAAGATGACTTGATGTGAATTATGGCCATCATCATTCCTCTCACATCATCAAGTTTCGATTCTTTTTTTTAGTTTCTTTTGCGCTTTGTTTTTAATGATCTTGACCGAATCATCAAACAACAAACGAAAAAGAAAGAAAGAAAAAAACATTTGGTGAACGGGATTCCTTGGAAAACAACAACAGCAAGTAAAAATCAAACGATATTTATTATTTCTGTGTGAAAATTGCGGATATTCAGCTAAAATATCTTCTTCTTTGTTTTAATGCGTTGGTGTAATGTTGAATGGTCATGGTCGATATGGTCGGTTGGTAAGTAAACCGTTGCTAATCATATTTGTGGCCAGCAAATGATTAAAAAAAAGCTATTTACACACAAACAAATAAACATCAAAAAAGAAACGAAAAAAAACATCTTTATGGTCCAATGCAATTTTGTGTTGTTGAGTAGTTTTTTTTTCACTTTCCTAAGAATCCATCATCATCCTCAAAACAAAAGGCTTCCGACCGACCGATCAAGTGGATTATTTTAACTCTGTCTCTATGTGTGTGTGTGTTTGGTAAGGTAGAAATAGAATCGAAGGATTTCATTGGAATTTTTTGTTTTTGTTTTTCTCGGTTATCCATAAAGCATCTTTGCAAATTCCGAATAAACAACAACAAATGACGGCCAAGATCAAGGTAAAGATTGTTGTTGTTGTTGTTTTCGTGAACAAGTGACCTTTGTTCAAAACAGAAACAAAAACACATTTAATGAAAATGACGTAAAAAAATTGTGTTAATTGTGACCTTTTCTATGTCATTTTACACAATGGTTTTCTCTCGGTTTTTTGTTTTGTTTTTGTTTTTACCCGTGTGCCTTGTGTGTGTGGGGCCAAATCAGATTTATAATCAGATTTGGCAATGAATTTTGGGAAAGAAAACATCGCTTTTGTAAATTAATAAATCTCATTTGAATTGATGATGCCCT